ATGGTTTGTCCCTGCAACAAATCATTCATTCGCAAAATAGAGCATATTCTAAACCAACAGACACAAATGCATCAGTAGCCTTTGCCCTCATCTTGCCCTGTACACTGTGGTGTGCAAGGGGTGTAGGTTGCTTTTGTATTTTCCAGAGAATTCTGTGCATCAAGGAACTGTCTGTTGCTCTGATAAAGCTGATATCTAACTGCTGAGCCATTACAAAGGGCAAGTGATAACCCACTATTGGTATATTTTAAAAGATTAAGTAAGTCTTTTATTATGTGAATGACATTTCAAATGTGAACTCCATGCTTGGTTTCTCCTCCCTCCCTAGCTGTTGTGTGCAATAACATCTAAACATACAAATATATAATCTCCTCCACAACACATCACTGTGTGAATCACATCCCATCTGTGTCAGCACAAATCAAGACTTCAGTGACAACCCTCACCATTGCCACCAACCTCTGTGCAGTCAGAGGCCAATTCACCAGCTGTTCCCCACTGCAGAAGGAGAATGCTGGACTTACATAATAGTTCAAGTTTTCTCCTTTGAAGCTGTAGAGCCACTGCCTCAGCTAGTGTATGTTTGCTGTAGTGCCCTTTCCCCACAGTTACCACGGAGTTCCCCACCTTTCTAAAGGGTGGTCAAGTACAAGTGACATCTTATGTGCAGCAGAATCTGTACCATGAAAATCAAATGGACAAATACAGAAAATTTAGCAAGTGCCCTTTGTGGATTGAACTAATAAGAACAAACTATGGCACATACTCAGGAATGAAGAGTGTTTGATAAATATTGCCCCTGTCTGGAGGCATGAATAGACTCCCTTACCTATAGCAAAATAGGTAATTATTTTGAAATAAATTCTCCTGTTTGTAAAAAATTGCATGTTGCTTCATAAAGCAAGAGCTTATCTGGGTTTTAATAGGTGCCATGGCAACAATGTTACTGGAGTATGCATAGGAGCATTTTTGGAGGGAGGGAACAGGGTGAAACAAAAGGATCACTGATTATCTGTGGACACAAGGACTTTTGCTGCACACAGAAATACAGATTCTCCTTCTTCTTGTTCCTGGGTGGCTATTTACAGTCACCACCACATTCATACTTTCACTTTATACTGCTGTTGTCCAAAAATAATGAAAAAAGGGGGAAAACTTGTTACAACTAGGACTGATTTTAACCATACTTCAGAGTTCCGTTATATTTGCATCAGTTTTAATCAACCTATTATCTTCTATACAGAAACAGTTGCAATACTTGAGAAACAGACTTTAATTCTCTAATTCAAGCTCCAATTTATTTAGATTCTATTTCTTAACAAAAACCAAAGTCTTGCAATGTACTTTTAGTCCCTCTTTCCCAGTCACTTTTGAATATCTTTGAGAATATCTTTTCAACATTTTGAGAGCAAAGTGAAAGTTTTAAAGAGAGTTCCTGGATATTTTTGTGAATGAGAGGCTGGAATATTTCATACCCTGAGAAGGCTGGAGTTAGGGCTCAAAAATAGTTTTAGACGAAAGGAATTCCAAGCAATTGGAACAGATCACCAGCTGCTTATGGAGACAATTTGCTTTTCCAGTCACTCATTCTCATTCTGCATTACTCACAAACTTTGTTTTGATTTCGCTCAGATGGTACTAGTTTACTTTCTGTTCATGCAAGAACCTTCCTGACCCTTGCAGCCCACATTTTCTGCCTTCCTGTTTCTTGCTCTCATTTTAGATCAGTTCACACATCCTTCAATGCTTAACACAATCCTTCGGCCAGTGAAGTTTGCTATACACCTTATATTTGTAAATCCTTCTATGTTTTCTTTCTGATTGTGTGATATACGACAATGATCTAACCTTGTCACCCTGTGGTATGTGGGTAGCCTTCAGATGACCTGGAGATTTCACAGGATTACTCTCAAAGAAAAATTTACCAGATAAGCCAGCTTTATAATGGCATTTTACTGTTTTGTAATAAGATTTATGAATCATAAACTATCTAACAGCAAGCAGCATGTAAAACCCAGGAATCATAAAAGGCAGTACCTGTTTCTTTGAGATTAGCGGGACAAATTCTGAAGTCCAGTATTTCAGAGCTCAGAATGAAGGAAAGATTTGTATGCTTCTACTTTTCAGATTTCTTTGTGGCCCAGGTATAAAATATGCTGCCTTTATACAAGTCTGGTCAAATATATGGTTGCTTTCTGCAGCTGAGTCCACTGTCTTTAAGTCGTAGGTATACAACTACTCTAAGCCCTATACTTGCTTTCACAAGCCTTCAGTTCACTGAAAAATCCTCCCCTGCTTCAGCAGTTTAGTTTACTTAATAAATTTCCTATTTTCACTTTACAGGGAGTTGGGAACCTTGGCCCTGATACAGATTGGGTCTGGGTTCCATCCATTAATAAGATACACCCATGGGCTGTATGAAATAAACCCATTTGCAGCTTCCTTGTTCCTCACTCCTCATTGAGAAAAGATTTCCAGCCACTGCACATACAAAGAGTTCCAAGTATGAATAAAACTTAGAAACACAAGTTCCTGAGTCTGCAGGCAGACTATGAAAATGGTAAAGAAAGATGCAGCTTGCATCTCCAGTTAGCCTCACTGGCAGGTCAGCTAAAAACATCTATTTTTTATCTGTTTTGCTTAAAAAAGAGGATTTTGCACCTTTCACACCAAGCACTCCATGCAGTGACAAACCTCATAAGTATGGGAGAAAAATAATTATTGTTGATCTTCATTGTGAGTCTCCCGCTAATTTTAATAATGACTCAGGAGAGGAGAATGGTATTCTAAATACAGATTGTAATGCACAGAACAGGGGATTAGATCTTCCCTATTACATGAATCGGACACCTGAAAAACCTGGCTTTATTTTCAGCAGACTAGCTTTTTAGCATATGTGAAGATTCAGGAAACCCACAGCTCTGAAGTCTCTGGCAGTAGCTACATGGTGCTTAGAACTATCTATCAGCATACATGACATAGAACCAACACAAATTATTGAGAGCATAAAGCAAGACATTTTAGTAAGCAGAGTGATCATAATGGCAGACTACTACACTTCCATGCTGCTTGTATTCATTTCTACCTACTATTAAGGTGTTTAACAAAGAAAAAACACATGGTGATCAGCTAGTTTAATAATGTGCTATGCCATTTTGTGCCCACTGGTGGCTAATTCTGTCCATGCTGGTGGCATCCAAGAGGACAGTGTACTTCCCTGCCCGTGTTTTGTCCCTGAAGGGATGGGAGTTACGTACCTACTCCTGAAGACCTGACTGAAAAGCTCAAAGCAGACAGAGGGAGCAGTTCCCCAGCCAAAGTGAGAGCCACAGCTGACACTGCATTACTGGTTTGCAGGGCTCCAACTTTACACAGCACCAAGTGCTTTCCCAAATGTAGCTCTGTGCACTACCTGACACCCCAGCACAGAGTATTTCAGACTTCCTCCAGCACAGGCTGGGACCATGAGTCAGTCAGCCAGCTCAAAACCACAGAATGGCACTGACTAGTGTGCCTCACGGCTGAAATTGTACAGACAATGCTTTCTTAAAGTAGCAGATCCAAAAAGGGGGCATAACAAACTTCTCACCAAGTCAAGCAGATGAACTTTGCTCTGGTTGTTAAGTTTTACAATTGCATCAAATCTGTTTTCCTGTATGTGCTGCATTTCAGAGACTGAAATACTGAACAGCTCTCTCTGCTTTTTATGCTAGACAGCCATGACAGTGCTGCTTTGGTTGCACTGCTTCCTTCACAAACATGCACTGTATTCTATCTACATGTTCCAAAAGAAGTTGAGCAATGAATTTTTCTTAACTTGCTTCTTTTCACCTTATGACTGCAATACCTTTTTTACCTCATCATTGTAGTAGTACCTTAACCACGTGTCCACACTACTTCAGAAAGACAAAGAACGCAGTGCTTGTAGCTCAGCAAATGAAGCAAGGGCACCACGGTTAGGTAGCACACAGTCACTGTAGCAAGTATTGCTGTTTCCTTCTATGCCAATGGGACTGTGGCTGTGGTGCAGCAGAATTGTGACTGAAGATCTGATTACTCCACAGAAAGAAGCAAGCTGTTGTTTGCAAATGTATTTTGAGCACTTCAATGCTCTAAGTACTTCAGCAACTCCAGCAGAACAAAATGCATTTTATCAGTACGTTACCAAGAACAGAAAAGATGCATCAGTTCACTCTGCTCCTTCAGATAAAAGACCCAAAGCTGGTTTGCACTTCTAACTCTGCCACCCTAATCAATTGCACCACTACACAACAGCCCAGTGGAGATGCATCACAGTATGTAATGAACAAATCTGAGTATTGCAACACCTCTTTGAATAATTGTGGAGACACTAATACCAGAAACAGAGAGCAGGAGTCATTTTGTAAAGACATAGAAGACCTGTGTTCTTGTAGTGAGATGTCTCAAAATCTATTACAGTAGCAGTGAAACAAATGGTTCAAAAGAAAAAGCATACAGTTTACTGAACCATTACTGGTCTGAACTTCAGAAAACTGAGGGGGATTGATTTCTTCAGAAACTTTCCACATAACCAGATCTTTTAATACACCACTTATGCTGAGTTATTTACTGCTTTACCATATATAGTTCTGCGTAAAGAACTGTATGGGATGTTGGGCAGGAATCCTTCTAGTGCCTAATTGTAGGCCAGGTTCCAATAGCACTTGAAATAGTCACATCCATTCCCTGAACCAGCTCAAGAGGAGAGAAATTTGACTTGGGGCACGCAGGAGGGGAAGCATAATACAGATTAAATTAAGACATTTCAACAGCAGTAGATGTCAGGATGCTTTTTGGATTATTTCCCTCTACTAAAGAAATTCCACTCCCACTTCACAAAAGAAAACCCCCACTATCAGCAGGCATCATTCATTTCACAAACTTTCTTAATCTGTAATACTTTGGAGCAGGCGGTTGTGTATAAAATTACTTATCTCTTCCGTTAAAACCTTACATAATTTACAAAGGAAAAAGAGAGATCAGGAGACCCAAAATTTTTAGTTTATTTTAATTATTATCCTGCACAGTTGCTTCAGAAGAAGAGGAAGTATTTTCTAAATAAATTTTTCCTTTCAAAAACTCAACTGCATCTTCCTTTGTCATTTCCTGAAACTTCCTGTTCTGGATCTAGAAGAAAGTAAAAGGAAAGGGTACATTATTTCTATTATCCAAACTACCCTGTCCTACAAACCAAGTGCTCAGTGATGAGAAGGCCACAGGGATTTGCTGTATTTTGAAAACAAGTTCACTTGAATCATTCACTCTATGAAAATCAGGGAAACAAGCCAGAGACATATAAGTTTTTTAGGCACAAAGGAATTCAGTGGCTTGATTTTTTTTTCCCCCCTCAACTATGATTATATTTATTTCACTGATAATGGTAAGTGGTGGCTTGTCTTTTAGAGTTCCTCTGCCCTTTCTCGCTAGTGACACCATCACTCCGGTTTAACTCGCAAAGATACGCAATTACCACTCTGGAGAAGGCCCACCATCCCAGGTGAGCTTTCATGTTTGGTAGAACAATGCCTGTTCTACCAAATACGCTCATCACTACACTGATAAGAGAACCCAAACAGAGAGAATAACCTGACTCTTCTTACCAGAATCACGTGATAGCCTAGTTTATTTAGATGCCGCTTCTTCATTGCCAGCTTCCCTTGGGGGTGCGTTGTACCCACGCAGAAAGTAGACAGAGGAACAAACAGAAGAGCCAATCTACAGCCAAGGAGAGCACAAATGCAGAACAAGCATTTTTAAGACAGTGATTCAATGATGTCTTTTAACACAGCAGAATATACAGCTCTCTTTCTGGTAGGCAAAAATATCAGGACTACAAAAATTTCAAACTTCGGACTTAAGTAATTTAGACCCTTTCTTCTTCCATGAGCTCACACAACTTCCACCATCTACCCAAGTACCTACAGCAGAATTAAGTACTTAGATCTCCACTTCTCCCACAATGAGAAGGTAATAGATCATTCAGCATTCTCCATTAATATGAGAGATTCTGCATTTACTTTGATCCTTTGCTAATGATATTCAGAATCAGCTACTTCTTTCCATAAAAACCTACTTGGAAGGGTGAGAAAAGCTGAATGGCTTGGAACACTGACTTTCTGTTACACAATTCACTAGCTCTCTTTTTACCAAAAAGCAAACTGTATAAAATACATTGTGCAGTGATCCAGCACATGAATGTTAAGTATCACCCAATTCTACTTAAGCATTACTTAAATGATATATGTCCTGCTTCAATTACTGAGAGGTCAGTCTTCTACACAAGATTAAATTAATCACCTAAAATGTGCATATGATGATCCTTTTTATTCAAAGTATATTTCAGTAGCTGAATTAACTGCCATAACATATCATTAAGATGCACATTTTTGAGACTTAAGAGAATAACTGAATGTTTAATTGGACACACAAACACTTGCAATTTTAAAATTCTACCTGCATTCATTACTAGAGTATCAGATCACTGTGATGTTTCCTGCCTCTTTCTCTGAAATGTTAATTTTAGCCCCTCTCAGAAGCAGGTATTGAGCTGGATGAATTGTTACCCTGAACTGGCACAGCAATTTTTGCGTATTTCAGTGACCATAAATAACAATTTAGTTAGCTACTTTGCTCCTGCAAATCAGTGAACTGAAGAAGTAACTGGATGGAATACATACAAATAAAACTAGCCTGCTAGAAAAAATATGGAGTAAAAGAGACACCTTTGAACACTTGGGTCAGGATGATCATCTGTTGCAGTTATAGGGAGCACTTTTTTTCCTTCTGAATCCATTCTGATTTCAAAATCTGAAAAAAACCCAACAAAACATTTAACTCTGCAAGAGGTTACAATTAATATTCTCATTTGAACACACTGATTGTTCAAATTGTTTTAAAATGAACAGCTCATTTGAAAAAGTTAATAGGTACCATCGCTGGTCTGTTTCTAATTGCTGTTCTCTAATAACTGACTTATTACTGATAGCTTTTCCCTCCCTCCAACCAATATAAACAGCTATAGCTTGCACATCTCCAGAAAAAATAAATTTGTTTCTGGAAACTGCAGATGTAACTGTATGGGAGTGAAATCATTGTTTAAAGAAACTACTCTTGATCACAGGCTGTCATGCCTACTCATATTTTCCTGTAGTCCAATTCCTCGCTGGAAATCTTTGGGAAGAAAATTATTACAAGAACAGAAGAACTGGTAAGCTGCATGGCTGACAAAAAAAATAAGCAAGATCAAAATATAAAAGAAACCAAACCTTCTGAAATGATCACCTGTCAAAAGGTCATATCACATTTCATAAAAGAAGGTGAAACTCAAACCTTAGCCAGAACTTCAGAGAAGAAACAAGTCAGAGAACAAAAGGTAGCTGCTGTTTGGCTTTGTTTCTAACGTAACTTAGTATCAACATGTCAACTCTCTCAAACAGTTGGCCATACTGGATTTATGTACAATTAACATCTGCTTGCTGATGCTTAACAAAAAGTCCAAAGCAGTTTTGTGAATAAGAGAAATCATTAACTTTTAGGAAATGGATTTAAATACCTTAACAGAAGCATCCTAGAAAGTAGATTCACTAATCAAGGACATCATTTGTTAAAAGACTGTCATCAAAAGTGTTACATTTTTAATCACTTGCACCCTATGCAAATTTATTACCACCTTATTATTTTGGGGATTATAAATCTATATTAAAAAGAATTTGACAATAACTTAGCTTCATACCAACGTGATATTTATATGGCAGCTGAACATTTTGCCGAAACATGTTCTCATCTCCCAGAAGCTCTATCAGTGCCTCCTGAGCCTTTCTGAGACTAAGAGAGACCAATGAGGGCGAATTCTCAGTCACCACAAATGCAGGCTTCGTGAAGGAAGGGCTATCAAGTTCCATACACGTTTTCACACAGCGAAGCATCATTTCCTTTTGTTCTTTGTAAAGATCATCTGAAAAAGGATACAAAAATACTACATACAATGTATCATCTCACAGGATTTTTAATTTTATTATCTTTTATAGTCTGTTCTAGCACAACAAATGAATTTCAATGTAAGAAGCAAAACCCAATTGATTTTCACTGAATATTATTGAGTCTCTTCAATGTATTGTTAAATACACGCCATAATTCACTAATTACAATATTAAAGTCTATGGCAGGGAGCTTGCCCATTTATGCAGTCTTCCCCCTCTGCTGTACACAGCTCTGTGCATGCTGTCAGTTATCATGGGAGAGTATGCATAAAAACCATTCATAAAATCCAGACAATCAGGACGCTACTTATAAACCAAAAAGGGATATCAGACTCAGCCAAAATTTTGAAACTGTACTTGAAGAGCATTAAGCCGTGCAAACACTAAGCAGTTACAGCTTTACAGCTTTCAGGTTGAGACACAGCAGGCTCAACAGCAAGACACAGTGTTTACACCAAATCTCTACTCCGCTCGACTATTCTACTACCTGTACAAAATTGTAATGTGGAAACCAAATTCTTCTACAAACCATTACAAGTACCTCATTATAACTCAGAGCAGTCCAAATCTCACTTTTACACATGATTAGAGGTACTAAAGTTAGTTTATAAAGGTTAAGACTTCCTATATTTTTAAAAATGCCTGAACATCTACTGACTGTAGAACCCTTGGCTCTTGCACATTTCTACCACTTCCACAGATCCCATCTTCATCTCTGTTCATTTAACTGCATACCTACTATTAAACTGTTTCCACCATGGGGCCCAAGACAATAAGCTGATGCCCTAGTGCAAAGCCAGATCACTCAGACCACCATTACTAAATTAGCTCCGTCTTGAGGACTTCAAATTTAATATTAATCATGTTGGGGTTCTTTAATTTCTAGTCTTTTAACACAATTACAACAAATTATGTACACAGGCAGACTACTCTTTTTAAAACAAGAAGATGACAAAGTAAGGTCTGACCTGACAGTATAAGTTCATCCTTGCTGTCCTTTTGCAGCAGCTCATCCAGTGCTTGATGGGGAAGATAACCTAAGATGCAAAGTGAATACGCTGCCTTCAGCAGTTCTGTGTCGGAAATCTGAGGCAGGCATTTATTCAAGCCGCTTTGAAGGGTCTCAAAAAACCTTTTCCAAAATCAGAAGAAAAGCATCTAAATACACAAATAAGGCTATAAAAACACGCATTTCAAACAAAAACACAAGTTAGAAATCTTTGCTAGCTTGTGTTATTTAACATTAGCACTTGATTCTTGCTTTGAGGATACAGCTACCTATCAACAGATTTAGTAGCCTAGTCAGCCTAGAACCAAAGTCTTCAGCTAGACAAAAAAATCCTATGTAGAAAAAATGTAAAAAGACACAGCAAATTTACTTTACAGATTAATGAAACGGGATTATGAACTCTTCCACAACTGAAACCAAATACGAGTTGCCATACATTACTCTATAATGACTATGTAACGTATTATCAGGCATCCTAAATGAAAACCTACCGATGCTTTTGGACTCTGGGAACATAGTTGAGTCGTGAATACACTCGGAGAACAATCAAAAGATTTTTCAAGTTAAGGAATTCAGGGTCTTCGGTCAGCTTCTCAGCAAAAATCTCCATCAACTCACTAGGCTGAAAGCCAAGTGCCTCACAGGCAGAAAGAAAAAGGATAATCTAAAAGAAAAGAGAGTTTTATAAGTCAAGAAAGTCAGTGAAGTAAATCCTACCTGTTGATATCATAAAAGGCATTTTTAATGAAAGCAAATTTTTCAATTCATAACACCACTTTTATTTGTTTCTTTACTTATCAATTAATAGAAGAGCATTTTCAAAATTTAACTATCAACTTCATCAGACTGGTATACCTAAAAATCTGTTCCCCAAAGATCAAGCACAAACATGAAGAAAGGTAAGATGGAAAGCACCAGATACTCTGCTAGTACTGCTATAAATTATTTGGTCTCAAACTCACCTGTCTTTTGTCCCAGAGGCAGGCAGTGGAATTAACATAGTCTGCTAATGCTGAAAACAGTTTTACATTACGGTACTGGAGAGTATGACAAGCTTCCAGAATGAGAATTAAGTGCCGAAATGGAACATCATGGACATTTTCTGTAACAGTAGATCAAAAAAGGACAAATGATACAAAGCAATGGGAGCTGTAGGTTGGAGACACCGTGGAAACAGTTTGGTTAAGGGATGGAGGAGGGAAAAAATCTGATATGAAACTATGGAACAGACTGAGACTAGCTAGGCAAAGCTCAACTGAGCTAAAATACAGGAAGAAACTGAGACAGGAGAAAACAAACTGAGCTGGAATCAAGCTAGAACACATTAATCAGCAAAAGGGGACAAATTTACAAAATAAGCAAGAAGATTGTGTTCCCAGGACATCTTCCAGGTTTCTTGACTTTCAGCATGCACTAAAAAATGCTGAAAAAAGTCACTGCTCACTCTGTGTATGCCACCTGGCCTGTATCCCAAGTGTGGTGGAAGTCCTATGGGAGAAGCCAGTATGTGTTATTAAACACTGTGTCCTAATACGTATAAGGACAATAAAGGCTATACAAGCAGCCTAAACACTTCTGGTTTACTTATGTTAAAAATGCTATTTTACTATTTTAATGCTTTATGAGACACAAATGCATTTTTATTTTAAGTATGAATCAATACATACTGACCACATATACTCAAGCAATGTATTGTAAAGGTATAGAGAGACGTGAAAGCATTAGCTTTCATTTAATGTTTCTATGGGCTACAGCATAAGGTCAGTTATTAAGCAGTACTCAATAATTAAATCCAGTTCTTCAGGGAAACACTATTTTCATTTAGTTTACCAACTAGTCACACTAGGCTGCCAATCTATCCTGTAAGTTGTCCATTTCCAATTCAGATTTGTTTTAAAATTTTATTTGAAATGTCTTTTCTTGATAGAATTAAATTCTTTTTCCTAAATCCTGTGTACAGAGAAATATAAATGAAAACATGTAATTCAGGCAAATGTTAAGAAGGGAAGAGATGACAAGAGCTATTTGTTTTCATTATTTATCAGTAATTTTCTGTCTTGCTTCTTGTCAAATGGCTCCACATAACTATAATATCCTGTAAAACAAAGATGTTTCCTGAGTTTTAAAGGAAATCAGAAAAGGGAGATGAGACAGTAATTAGAAAGAATTTGGAATAAGGAAGGGAAATTTAATAAGCATATTTTTTTCTTACCCTGGATCTTTTTACTGCAGGCAGTCAGGATTGGATACGAACAATAGTTCATAGCAACAAGAGCCAAAAAGACACGCAGAGCATTCGGAAAAGTCAGATGATCTATTTCTTTCAAAACTGCCATCTAAAGTGAATCAGAGTTTATTAAATCTTTCATTCTTCTGGTATGTTATCACTGCTTTCTGGTGAAGACATTTTCACCAAAACTTTCCCAAATTCTTTAGTTCAGATTTATATGAAAGGAAAAAAAAGCAAAAAATAGCAAAAGCATAAAGTAACCACTTTCAATTTCTTAATATACAATTTTAACAGGTCAAGCGCTCTAGAGATGTGTCACTATGCAAGTTCCCAGCAATTTGCCTTTATACACTTCTTTTAAAAGAAAGAAGTCTCAGCAAAGGTCATTTCCAAATACTGTGAATATGTGTCTTATGCAAACTCTTAAAAAAGTAGCAGAAACAAAAATGGCACAGTTGACTGATCTGCATGCCCACGAAAGCTGTAAGCCTCCAAAGTGATCCATAGTACACCAAGCGGCCTATCTTTAAATACAAACACCCAGCTACAAATGTGGACCAAGGCAGAGGTGGTCAGCTCTGTTGCCACAAGAGAGATTTCATTTATTGAAGCAGTAATTAGATTACGAAATCTATTGGCTACTAAGATACAATATTCTTACTGCATGCATATCAAAGGTTAAATACAAAATGCACCTACAATAGAAATTACACTGTAAAAAACCAGCACCCTGTGGGCTCAGAAAATTAAGAGCTCCCTTTAGCTAACAAGTGTAAATGTTATTTTCCTTTCAGTTTTATGATATTTGATGAATGCCATTACTAAGTGTGACCTCAGTACCATTCAGTTATGTGATGAAAACACAGCAGGCCTTGTTTGAAAAGTGGTTTCAAAAAGGATTTTTAA